TGGTTGTTGTTGTTGTTCGGGGAAAGATGTGCTTCCTCAGCCATCTTGGATGACCTTGTCATAACAACACATTTAAAACTTAGTCAGCCTTCTAGAGACAATTTCTCTTCCCCCTGTCTTTCTTTTCCTTTTGGGATCAAATCACTAACTATTCCTAAGGTCAGACAAACAAAGAAAAAAAACTTTTCATTCCATCACCCACCCGAGTGTCGTTCCGCTAGGGACAACGGTAATTTGCCGTTATCCCCGGCAACGGCGCCACCTGTCGCGCGCATCGGCCCTCGCGCGAACGAGGGCCCTCCCGGCTACGTCACGCAAGAGTCAAGCAACCCAAACAAACCCAATCAAGAGACAACTTAGGAACGACGCATAATAATCCTGCGAACCGCCGAGACGGACGCGGTTGCATCGTCCCTTCGCCGCTCTAGCCGGGTGCGTCAACAGTACATCCCGCGGTCCCCTACGACAGGATAGGTTCCCGTGAGGCATAAGCTTACTTCCCTAAGGGGCCGTCACCACCCTTAGGGGCGTATCCCTACCGAGCTACTGRCCCACATGCGAAAGTTTTCATATGCACTTGCAGAGGTAGGTCARYCGAGGGCGTTTGCTCGTTTCGCTGYAGKATAGGAGACGCTTGGTTAACGCCAGGTGGAYCCGGACGTCGTTCGTTCCTTAGGGCGCTGACCTCCTAAGTATGAAACGCACGCCGGTCGAYTAGGACGGCTCAACCATGCGTGAAGATCGATCCTTAGTCCCTTGGTGATAAAAAAAAAAACACTATACAAAATTACGCAATCTTATTCACTGACTTGATGAGYTGGTCGGTCAAAAGTATTTTCATCCTCAACTTACATGACTGGAGGCTTTAACGTTGTCACTCCCAACTTGTTTGAAAACAAAATTTAGGGAGAAATTTTTATAGCCTTAATTATTTAACTACATTTTCCTTACATCTCATGCGGCTAGTTCTGGAAGAGCAACGATATTTTGTTAGTCGCTTTATCCTCCTGGGTAATAATTACTCTTTTCGTTCCATGAATGATGGCGTATCCATCTTTAGTCCCRTTCACTCCCTCCTCTGCCATTTTCCAGATGTCTTATTTTCATCCATCCTTGTGTCTTTATGTGGTTGATTACCCCTCAATGCATGACGCATGATAGTGATATCATTGGGGTAATCCGAATACTATCCATCCGGCAATCTTGACTACGTAAAATGTTTTGTTTTGTTTTGTTTTGTTTTGGTTTTTTTTTTTCTGTTTTTTTTTTTTTTTCTTTTCTCTCTTTCTCTTTCTCTCTGTACTTATCTATCTATCTACCCTGAATGTGGCCACCCTCGGTGCCAGATTCAGGAACCGAGGTGACTGTCGAGGTTCAACCTCCTGATGAGTTGGTGGAAGTCCAACGAAACAGTCGGTCACAGTCATGTCCTTTTTTTTTTTTTTTTTTTTCGTTGGCTCAAAGCCAACAGTCACGTCAACGGTACCCCCACAAACTGTTGAAATACAGACCCGAGTTCGAGTCCACACGGACTCAAAAAAAAACTTTCGACCATTTTTTCGATTTATGCGTGTTATCCTTGCGCAGGGGCCACGCTGCAACCGCGCGGTTATTTTCAACCGTGAGATCTGAAGATCTCGCGGCCGAAAATGGCCGCGCTTTGCTGCATCTGCAGCGGGCAGCTCCATAAAGAAGCTGGCCCAGAGGTACCGCGGCTGGATTCGATCCCGGTGTCTGCGGGGTAGGAGTCTTCTGCTGAAACCTACTGGGCTAGCTCCTATCACGATAGTGATAGGAGCAGCTCTTCTTTATGAAGAGCTCGCCCAGTTACTTCTGCCCAGGCCGCAGCTTTGCAGGCTCAGGCTGCCTGCGGCTCTACAGGCTCTGCTTGCCTGTGGCCGTGCAGACCCCGCTTGCGGCCCTGCGGCCTTACTTGCAACAGCACAGCCCCGCGCACAACCTTGCGGTCCTGCGTCCACACTGCTGTTGGCGAGTCAAGCCGCCGTTAAAACGACAACCGTCTGACGGCACGGCATGCACGACACAACCATTTTTTACACCCGCTAAACCCCTAAATCACGAGGCCGTAGGCCGCGTGTTATAAAATATTCTARCTCAAATATTTCAGACGTCCGCATACTTTTGCATAATAAAATAAAACAATTATTCCGGACGTTAGACGCGTCCGGACCAAAGTCTAAAAATTTTTAATTTCTCGGTCATAGGTTTAGTCTGAATAAACTTTTGGCACGCCAGTCTAATCAAGTCCTTCAACTCCTCAAAAAGTCCCCCGGCAAATACCCTTGTCAGGGTTTTTGCCCCGACAACGGGAATGCGGATGGATTGACACGACTGCACCGGCCTGAGAAATTTCTGAAGAGTGAGGAGGTGATCCCGTGGAACAAACCCGAACAAAAGGTTGGACCTCGGTACGGCCAAGTGGAGATCTTGTCGAAACAGTAAGTGACATGAGGACCAATTTGTCTGTTCTACCCTCTCCACAATTCGTTCTCATCCCTCCTCCTCTGTCATTATGACTACTCCACCTGTCTTTGCAACCCCTTCTTCTCCTACTAATTCTGCCCCTCTCACTTCCTCAGCTTTCTTTGCCACCCTCCCCGATAAATTCTGCTATTTTTGTACGTGTATTGGACGGGTTTATGGGGTTGATTGTCATCCTTTCGAAACTGGGTTTGTCGATTGGGTAGAATGTGCCACGTGTGTCAATCGTGCGCACGGGGCCTGCGTTCGATATCGGACGAGTAGCAAGGAATGGAGGTGCCCCCTGTGTAGAACGAACAAGCTCCCCACGAAGGTTCGATTCGAGGCCGCCCGTACGGACGACCTTGAATACGACGAAAAAAATCCGACGAGCGGAGGTTTGGGCGGATAAAATTTTATTGGCGAAATTAGTGGGATTATCATTGGGACACCTCACCAAACACGACAGACATAGGGCAACCGAGAGATCTCGGGACTATCGGTGGATCAACGGGCATTTGGAGAAGCGTAAAACTGACGGATCGGGGTCGTGGATGACGGTTCCCCATCCATTCCAGAGATATGATTGAATCCGATCGACTCACGAAGAACAGGCCGCTCATTTCGCGATACGTGTCACGGAGCCAGCTATAGACCAGAACCGATGGTTATGGTCCAACATACGAGATGATGTCAGATACATTGYCGCCAACTGTCTGGTTTGTGCCGTTGATCRYRCCCCAATACGYGGACCAAACACAATAGTACCAACGGAAATAGAGCGCCCCTTCAAGCGAGTCAGTATGGACACAACCGATATCGACGTGCCACCTGGCCTAAACCGCTGTGAATATTCAATCCTATTAGTGTTAATAGACCATTTTTCCAAGTACATCGAGGTCTATCTCTGTAAGAACCGAAAAGCCGCAGAAATAGCCATGTATATCGAACGGTTCCTCTATACCCATCTAGATACGGAAGAAATTCTAACCGACAATGGGTCCGAATTTAAGGGAGAAGTAGAGGAACTGCTCGCACGAAGGTGCGTCACGCTCCGACATACGACACCCCACGTGTCCCAGTCGAACAGGTTGGCTGAGAATGCCAACCGTATGATTAAAACCGCCCTACGCAGGAATTTAGCGGCACACGACACGCGTCCATGACCCGAGATCGTATATCAGATCGTCGGGATCCACCGGGCCACCCCTCACGAGTCCACGGGGTTTACCCCTTTTCAGCTTCGTACTAATAGCCTCCCCTGTGTCGATTACCGGGGTAACTCGGAAATTGTCGAAGCAAGGGGCAGAGACACGCGTGCAGCCCTCAAGGCCAAGACCAAAAGGTACACCAAACTAATGGAGTGGGCCGTCCCGAAGCTGGCCCGAAAAAGGGAAAGGATGACCGATTTGACCCACGGTAGGCAGGTCCGTAGCTACGAGGCTCGGAATGGAAATGCTGGGCCCCAGCATCAATATAAATTAGGGGACCTGGTGCAGGTACGTAAATGTGCACGCGACCAGAAACTCGCTCCCAAATTCTCTGGCTGCTTTCGTGTTGTCGAGCTCGGTCCTAACGGCGCCAACACAGTGCGCATCGCGCCTGAGGCTAGTGCCAGCCATAGCTCTGTCCCCATCGTCCGACATACCTCCTACCTTCGTCCTCTTCCTCCCTCTCATCTTCCTCCCTCTCCCTCCTCCGGAAGCGAGGAGAACGACGACGATCTAACTCTCTCTCCGCTCTCTCCCTCCTGCCCTTCGTCTTCCTCTCCGACCTCGCCATGGGTTTCATCACGGAGCGGGCTCTTGACGAACAGCTGTTGCAGCCACGTTTGGCGCAATTCTTCTGCGACGTGGGTGGGTGTGTCGCAGCCACGTTTCGATTCGAAGGAAGCTCACAGGCAGTGGTACTGGCGGAGGTAATCGAAGTTCATCGACGAGCGGCTCCCGGAACGAGCCACATCACCACAGTTGCGGCTTTCAGCGGTGACATTAGTTCGCTCAATCCACGGTGGCATACCGCAATCTTAACCTCGCTGCGAGAGTGGACGGAACAGGTGTCCAACGTGTGGTAGCACGGTCTTGCCCGGCCAGGGCATAACCTCATCCCGACCTTTGCACCGGATCTTGGCGAAATCCGCCGTTCTCCACGCGAACCGCTAGTTGTGATCCCCACCCTCGTCCCTTTCCCCCGTCCCCAATGAACCACGTCGATCCCCTCGCTCCTCTCTCCATCTTCGGTCTCCCCTCTCTTTTCCCCACCTTTTGGCAGTTTGATCTTCATCCTTCTCTTTCCTTCTCGTTCGAGCCTCTTTCTGTCCCGCTTATTAATCCCGGGCATTGGCGACTGTGGCGCAAAACTTTTAACGAGGTGTCCTTCTGCTTGGCCTGAGTACAGGTGACGTGGACGCAGACCAACGAGCTTCCTGCGTGGATCGAAAATTTGGAGTTGCTGATCATACAAGCTGGGAAGACTAACGCCGAGGGCGATCTTCTCGGCTTTCTCTTTGGATCGGTACGGCCGGGCCGCCGCCAGTTGATTGTGCAGGAGCTCATCGCGCCGATCATGCACTTGGCGGACGATCTCTCGCCCCATATCTTTTCGCAAAGTGACGATAGCCCCGCACCGTATGTTCTCGAGCGGTCGTTGGATCCGTTCCTTCAGTGGACTGCGTGCTTGGACGAGCCCAGGGACGAAGATACGCTACCATCACGGCAGGAGTATCTGAAGCCTTACGACATCCTCCCTCACACCTTCTATCCGAAGGCGGAAGAAGTGGTGATCGACGACGACGAAGAAACGTCGGAAGAAGGAAGCTATAATGAGTATAGCGGGGGCGAGCTGAGTGAAGAAGAAGAAGAGGAGGAAGAAGAAACCGGATCTGAGTGGGAACCATTGCCAGAGGAAGCGGCGCGTACTGGCACGGAGGCGGAAGATCCTGAGGCTGCGCGTAAGCAAGAAGAGATTGCCGCCGGGAAACGCCATCTAGAATTCGCCAGCGGTGCAAGTCAGGGCATCGGTGACGATCCGACCAGGGATCCAGAGATGCCGAAGCCCGAAGATGGCGACCCCGGAGCTGCTACCCCAAACACCTCACGACGGAGACGGAGCAGATCCCCCTCCTCCTCCAGCCCCGCCCGTCCCCCAATTCGCCCACGTAGCGATGCGGGCGATAGGCCTTCGTCCTCGAACGTTATCTCACCGTCCCCTTGATTTTCTCACCCTCGAACAAATCCGCACCCCCGTCACCTTCCCCCTCCATCCCTTCCTTCCCCATCTCTTCCCTGACTTCTACTCTACCTGCCTACTCGCTACCGTCTACCCCCATCCATCCCTTCAGCCCGCTGCCCCCACGTTCTGCTGGCATATCCTGTTGTTCAACGCTGCATGGGAACGATGCAACATGGTAGAAGTCTACTGCATAGCCACAGGGACGATCCCCGCCTGTCGCCACCACGAGTTCTTTCGAGCGGCGCTCCTCAGCACCCTCTCCTCCTTCTGTCGTGACTACCTCGCTTCTCTCCCTCATAGCGGCGACCGCTTTCCTCGCTTCCACTGGATCATCTGATATAAGGAGCTTCCGGTTACGATGGAAGGGATGAATCGCTACCTACCCCCACTTCCTCCCCGTCGTCCCCATGAGCTCCCCTCCATGTACCGCCTCTACTGGCCCATTCCAACTAGGCGATAGATCCCGATCACTTGACTATCCCCCCCCCCCTCCTCTCTTCATCTAATCGGCAGGAGCAAACGGCACGAATCAGTAAGCTTCGCGAAGGTCACGCCATCGACGATGACGTCAACCTACGCTCTAATTCGACGGTGTCGGGACTGGGGAGTCCCGAATAACTTTTCATCACTCGAGAGACCGAATATGGACGAGTTGTGCACAACAGAGAAATCCGAAGTGAGATGAGATGAAGGATTACACCGCAGGAGGGAGTAATGCCCTGGGGCGAGAACCACAGGGGGAAAGAACTAAGCGACGGCAAGCGAGCGAGCGCAAGAACAGGGGTACATATAACATAGCAGGAGGTCGGGAGGGCCATCGGAATGCAATAAGACTAAGGCCAAAGGGCCCTTTGAACTAGAAATTGCAGCGCGACAACAATAAGGGAATGAGGAAGTCGAGGGATGGGCGGCCAGAAGCCGCGCGAAGCCAGGAAATGAGGGCTAACGTGGGGGCCACCTACGGGAGCCTCGGAGCGGAGGCCCACGACCAAGGAGATCGGCACGCACAAGGCGCGAGGAAAGACTAAGGAGAGGGGTCGCTATGGGGCGACAAGACGCCCAAGGGGCATGGGACACCTCGGGGAAAGGCACCCAAGGCCACGTGGGACTAAGAAAAAATAATGGCGTCCGGGGCGAAATGTGTCGGGGACCGCAGGCGGGACTAAGTGTCGGGGACCACCGGCGGGACTAAGTGTCGGGGACCAGCGACGGGACTAAGTGTCGAGGACCACCGACGGGACAAGTGGCGGGGACATGTGAAAGTCCCAAGAAGAAACGGCGGCACCGCATGAGGGAAAAATAATAAATGCAAGGTGCACCGTCAAGATCGACATTTTGACGGCCAAGAATATTAACACCACTAGTGCAAGTACTAGTGGTGACAAACGGGAAGGCCAAAAGGAAAAGGAAAAGTAAAGAAAACTGAAGTGGGAGGCATGGGAGCAATCCGAAAAAATCTCGGATCAGCCTTCCTCAAGAAAATAGAGTCAAATAAGACCCCATGTGAAAAATAGCCCTCCGGGAGAAAATCAGGGTAGGAGGGACCATTGTGGGAGAAGTGTAGGAGTAAAAGGAGGCTCCCATGGGCATGGGAAGACCATTATTGCAGTCCGAGAAATAACGGAGTGCACCTTGGGCATAGGGAGGGCCAAAACTAAGAGGAAGAGGCCAGAAAAGGGCCTTAACGGCCACTTGACACTTGGCATGCTAGAAAAAAGAGAGAAAAAAAAAGAAAATGGGGGAGAATAAGACAAAAARAGTGAGAGGGAGTGAGTGAGTTGGCCGTCAGTAGGGACTGCCATAGGTAGGGACTGACAGGTCCCTACTGTCCAAGAAAGGAGGAGAAAAAAAAAAAAAAAAAAAAAAAAAAAAGAAAAAAAAAAAAAAAAAAAAAAAAAAAAAAAAAAAAAAAAAAAAAAAGGTCTTAACGGTCAAAAACGGTCACTTGGGGAGATTCATCCGTGACCAGATTCATTCTGGAATATGGCGGTTACAAAAAATCAAAGAAAATGAAGGCCTCTTGCAACCGAAATAAAACGGAATACTTGCATGAGGAGAAACACATGTTTTAGGTGCATCCGGAGCCAAAATCAAGGCCGGATGCACTTGGGAATTGACCGTTTCTTTTTCTTTTGAGTAGGGGCTAGTTGTGGGGCATTGGGGCTACGGAATTGACCCCCATTGCAGTCCGAGTTGCAACGGACTGCATGGGGGAGAGAAAACACATGTTCTAGGTGCGTCCAGAGGCAATATTGAGCCCGGATGCACTTGAAAATTTAACGCTTCATTTTCTTTTAACATGGGGCAAGTTGAGGGGCTGTGGGTGTAGAAAACAGCCATTACTGCAGTCCGAGAAATTACGAACTGCATAGGGATGCCAAGGCCAAAGGGGAATGGGCTACGGCAAACCCGGAAGGCTAGAAAGGATCAATTTCGGCAAGGGGCAAGTAAAGACGGTAAACGGCAACCGTAAGATGAGATCCCACGGACTAGAAAATTCGGCACACATGGAGAAATGATGGGACCACCAAGGGCAACGAGCCCCAAAAAAATAAAAATGAGACGTCGTCCGGAATGTTGCCGGGGACCAAATGGGTCCAAATAATAAAAGTCGAAAAACGGGACACACGTCGGCAGGACCGTCGGCGGGACAAAGAAATGGAGTTAGCATGTAGGAAAATGGCGGGGACTTGGGATATATAAAGGGAACCATGAGCAAACACAAGGAATAATTGTGCAAGCAAGCGGCACTGTCGAGACCGAGGATCTAGACGGTGGAAAATATTAGCACCACTAGTGCAAGCACTAACACTAGTGGGAGCAAGAGGGAGAGCCATGAGATAAAAAAAAAAGGAATAAGGGTGTTGGGAAGGCTGCCCAGCAGTCCGGGATATCTCGGACTAGCAAGGCATAAGAAAATAGAGCCTTGAGAGGCTCAACATGAGAAAAAGGATGCCCTTAGAAAATCGGAGCAAAATGGGCTCAAAATTGGGCAAACGGGAGCAAAATGGAGCCCCCTAGGAGCATGGGGATGCTATTATTGAAATCCGAGATGTAACGGCCAAGTAGCAGCCATGAACGTGGCCTTGAATGAGGCCCTAGGGCGTAGAAAGAGGGTGCACTCCAGTTTGACACTTGTTACAACAGAAATAAAAGAAAGAGAAAAAAAAATGAGAGGAAAAGGAGGGAAAATGAGACAAAAGGGGAGAAAAGAGTGGAGGAGAGTGTGTCGGCCTATTGGGACCTGCACAGTAGGGACTGGAAGGTCCCAACTGTGACCTCATACCTCCTAGAATGAGGAAGGGCAATCCAGATTGCAGAGATATGGCCCTAAGGGCCATATCTCAATAAAATCTTAATTAAAAAGTTGAAAATGAGAGAAAATGCAAAAAAGAAAAGACCAGTTTTTTTTTGGGCCATGGATCTGAGATCAGCTGTCGTGGTAGAGAGGAACTAGCCGTTTTTTGTGGGCCAGCTCAAAACGGCTAGCTCCGGAATAAGGTGGTAGTCCAAAATGGAAAGAAACAAAAGAGGGAAAATAACAAAACAGTGCATTTGGTCCAAAAAGAGAGCCAGATGCACCAAAAATTAAAAAATTGGACTTAGGGGCTCAAAATTGAAGCAAGGGCTACTAGGGGGTAGCTCGGATTATTGCTGGCCTTGGATCTCATCCAGATCCAAGGCTGAAAATGTGCCGCCATATCGAAAAATGCTCCGGCCTACTCAAAAGAGGCCGAAATTTGAAAAAATCGAGAAAAAGGCCCACAAGGTCTTTTTCTTTCAAGTAAAAATGCCCTTTGGGAACTAGGACCCACGGGGGCAGCATTTGTGAGGCAAAAAGGAGGCCGGAGTAAGCCAAGAGGCAATCCGAGTTGGTACCAACCACTCGGACTCCATGTAGTTGGCCAAAATGAGGCCCAGGTACCTCCAGGAGGGCCTAGTGAGGGGATTTTGCCCTGGGGGTACCTCGGTTCACCTCAAGGCTCATGGGGAGGCTCATGGGCTGGTCGGACTGCTGGTTTCAGCCTACATAAGCTGAAGATGCAGTCCGCCACTCTCACATTTGCATGAGGAGTGCCCATGCTGCCCAAGTGAGCTCACAGGAGCATCTTTGCACTTGGAGTGAGGAGGGAGGAGCCCATGCCAGTGGGAGAGCTTGGAGGAGAATAGGAGGTAGTGGGGAGGACTCTAGAGGATAGTGATGGTGGGAGAGACACTTGGGGGGTATTCCGCCATATCCCTCCTATGTGTAAGAGGGAAGGAGAAGCTAGAGGAGCCCCATGAGCCCTCCTAGAGGGGAGAACTCCATAGCCATAGCTGGGGGAGCTTGCCATAACCTGAGAGAAAGCAAGGGGGGAGGAGAGAAGGGCTTAGAGAAGAAGGAAACCATAGCCAAGAGGGGATTGTGCAAGGAAAGGAAGCTTCATCAAAAGGACACCAACATCAAGGAATCAACAAGGTGAGAGGAAGGAAGAGACTTCTTCACCTTCTTCTTCTTCTTCTTCTTCTTCTTCTTCTTTTTTTTCCCCTTCTTCCTCTCCTCCTTCTTCTTCCTCTTCTTCCTCCTCACTCTCTCCTTCCTCCTTCCCTTCTCTCCCCTCCTCATCTTGTCCTTCCTCCTCTTTACTTTCATTCTCTTTGTCTTCCTTCTCTTCTTCTCCATCTCGATCGCCCTCATCTCTCTCCCCTTCTCCTCCATCCTCTCTTACTTCACCTTCTCTCTTCCATGGGTTACTCAAACTCTTCTCTTTCACTTATGCACTAGGAGGTAGCACTCCAATTCTTTCCTAGATGCTTTTTGATACAATCTTGGTGATTTGGGCTCTCCAAACTTGTGTTTTTCACACTCACACTAGTAGGTAGTGCAGCGCTTCACACATGGATGCTTCTTGATACAATCTTGGTGATTTTGGCTCTCCAAACTTATGTTTTTCACACTCACACTAGTAGCTAGTGTAGCGCTTCACACATGGATGCTTCTTTATGCAATCTTGGTGATTTGGGTTCTCCAAACTT